TGTTTTTTTGTTTTGTGATGGTTGTTCATGAGTCCCTTGTTTGTTCTGAACAGTTAAACTGAGCACTGTTCCTCAGAAAAATCCTCCATGTCCTGCAGATTCTTCCATTTTCCAGCATATTTGAACCCTTTCCAGCAGTGACTGTATGATTTTGAGATCCATCTTTTCACACTGAGGACAATTGAGGGACTCAAACCCAACTATTAGAAAAGGTTCAAACATTCACTGATGCTCCAGAAGGAAACACAATGCATTAAGAACTTTTGAACAGGATGAAGATTTTTCTTATTTTGCTGAAATATAATTTTTTCCCATTTAGTACTGCCCTTCGGAAGCAACAGAAGATACTTGCATGTTTCCCAGAAGACAAATTAAGTACAATTTACCTTGATCTTCAAGCTCTTAATGCACCGTGTTTCCTTCTGGAGCATCAGTGAATGTTTGAACCTTTGTTTAAACATTTATTGTTCAGAGTATTATTTATAAAATAAAAATGTAGAAAATAGAATAGAATTTTCGTTTCATGCCTTGAAGCCTTAACTGGGTAAAAATCTTGAAACTTGTCAGCAAAAAAAGTGATATTTTACCAATATTTTTTCCGTTTTAATTTCAAAAGATCAGATATTTATTTGTGAGATTGTAAAATGTTTACTTGTGAGATTTAAATGCATTATGCTCATTCCTTAACTATACAGAACTATACAGGCACAATGTCATTCACAAACCTCAAAATCATATATATTTATCAACAATTTCTCTTTTTCCCCCTCATTTGTTTTCTGTTAAAGACGCAGAAGACGAGTTTTTCGAAGGAAGTCAGATGACTCATGACACAATCGGTAAGTCATTTAATCAAACATTTAAATAAGACGTTTTTCTTCCACACATATCAGACTGGAGTGCCTGCTTTTATATCAGTTTCAATTTTTATCTTGCTTTATCATTTATATGGACTTATTCAATTATTATTATTATTATTATTATTAGAGATTGTAGGCATTTTAATGAAGCTAAAGTACATGTCTTAAAACAAAATTGATCATTAAAAAGTTAATGAAAAATAAAAGTAAAAATTGTAATAAATCTAATATATTTGAATCAATGAATCGTCAGGAGCCACAGGTTTGAATTGTGTGTTGCCTGTATGTGCTTTTTTTTTTACTTTCAGAGTGAATGTAGCTGCTGATTTGCATTTTATGAATCACCAAGAACCACGGTTTCAGATAAAAAATCTTCTTTACTGTTCTACTGAAGAAAATAGTCACCTACATCTTGAATGGCCTGAGGGTGAGTACATTAACAGCAAATTTGCATTTTTGGGCGAACTATCCTGTTAAAACGATGAGGAAAAAACACTTAAAATATCTTCTTTTATGTTCCACAGATGAAAGAAAGTTCTGTAGGTTTGTAATTGTTATTTTTGGATGAAGGATCTTTTAAATCGGTGCTCAAAGATTCAAAGGTTTTGGTTCAGTCTTGTTTTTCAGCATCATCTGCGCTGACCAGCACTTCCTTCGGTCTGTAGCGATGGCTCGTGTTTTCATAAATCACGTCTTCTGATGCCGGTGAGGACGTGTCCGTGATCTTTGCTGTCATGTCTGGTTTTTTGGGCTCTGTCTCATTTGTTGAGGTGTTGTTCTCTGCGTCTGCGGCTCCTGCAGGACGCTGTCGGACCGCAGCGTATTCACTGGTCAGCGAGGCGATGCCCCTGATCTCTCCTGACGGCGGGTCAGCGTTTGTGAAGTCGATGGAGGAATAATGAAGAGATTCAGGTGCACTCGGTGCCGCGGATGACAGCATGCCTTTATTGGCGTAAACAATCTCACTGTCATTATCCAGAGAAACGGCCTGATGGAGAAGAAACGGCAAAATGAGTGAAAAAGATCTGCTGCACGACTGTCTGTAATTGAGGATGAATAACTCACTGTTTGAGTCAGAATGAGTCCAGATCTGTCGTCTTGTCTGGATTGTGAAGGTTTTTCTTTCCTTCTTCTGAAAAACATGTTTTCAGATCTTAGAAAAATTTATGCTTATATAAAATCTCAATCAGAATCACAAATCCTCCTTGTGATGAAGCTAAAAGCAGGTAAAGTCTCATCAGAACAATGTGTGATCCAGGATTAATATAGTTAACTAAAACTAAAACCAAAACCATAAAAAAAAAAAGTGTTTTGAAGTCTAAAGTCTATATTTGATTTCAGCTAGTTTCTGAAGCAACAATTTCACTTAGTTTAAACTGACGAACTGAAATAAAAAACTGACATAAAAATAAATAATAAAAAAGAAACTATATAGACACAAACATGCACACACATATATATGTATATATATATATATATAACCAAAAACTACTAAAAATGACAAAAACAAAATTACTAAAACATTACAATTTAATATAATATAAAAAATATAAAGTGATTAAAAATATTAATAAAAACTCAGTATCTTAGTGATACTAAAATAACACTGATTCGATATTAAGTTTAAAGATAAAATATTTTAACTGTACTAAATAGCAATAAAAAGCAAAAAATACACAAAATTACTAAAACTTTAGATTTTATTTTTTATACTTTTTCACTTGTTTTAGTAATTTTGTTGTGTTTTTGTAATCTTTATTAGTTTAAATGTATATAGTTTTTTAAGTTCATTTTAGTTTAATTAGTCATTGCAGTACTTTTTTATTTCAGTTAACATTTATTTGCTTTATAAGTAATTTTATTTATAAGTTTAAGTACCAAAAAAAGTTTTTTTTTTTTGTATAATGACCCTGTTTTATGCTTTATACTTTTGAAATAATTTACAATACCGGTAATAGTTGAAAAATATATGTATATAGATGTAGTTTAGCTTTATCTCATCATACATTACACCAATTTTGTGATTATCATGTTTTCTTCTTTGTTCCCACCGTTCATAGCAGAGCATCACGATGCACACGATCATCATCACTGACGCACCGACAGCAGCTCCGAGCAGCACCGACGGATGATGGAAACCTGGAAAACAGTGTTTTGTTGCTCAGAGGTTGGTCTTTCATAGTTCAGGAGATCTCACTGAAACTCATTTAACAATCTCAGATGTGAAATTGACATTATTACATACTGAACTTTTTAAAAGTGTACTTAATAATTCATTTATTTTTTTTATAAGTCATTAATAATTTATTATCTGCAAGTAGTTTTTTCAGTACAATTAAGCTACTTCGTTTTCACATGGATAAAGATATCATTTGTGATCTTTCTTGCTGATCAGATAAAGCTGTTGTTGTGTTTCTCACGTACGTGTTGTGGTGGTGGGACGGCCTGAAACTGTTGGCTGCCGCTGCCGTGTTTGTTTGTGCTGAAACACTGCAGGACGTCCGTGTCTGTGAGGGACTGATGGATGTTCAGGATGCTCTTCACTCCTGTGCTTCCTAACGTCTCCTCACTGATGGAGGTTTCTGTAGAGTTAGCGAGCACATGTCCGGACAGACGCCACTCTAGTGTAGGGCAGGGATTCCCATGAGCCTCACAGACACACGCCATTACACTGCTTCGGCTGCAAGAGCTGGAGATTTTGGGTGCAACTGAAAGAGAAAATATAATTGTTGTGATACAGAAGATCTTGATGGTCTCTACAGTGTAAAACATGTTCAGAATTTGAATGATAAAACACTAAAAATACCATGGTAAAAAAAACATGTTAACAGCAAGTTCCCTAAGAAATCTAACAGGATATTTAATGTATTTAAATTTGTATTTACACATCTGTAATGATAAAGCTGCTATTTAGTACAATATAATCATTTAAAATGACATATTGAATTAGTATTTAGTATTCATTATCACTGAGATACTGTCATAGTTTTTATTAATATTTTCAGTTTTTAATATAATCAGTTTTTTATATATATTTTTCATTTTAAAGCTTCTTTAATTTTGTTGTGTTTTTGTCATTTTTAGACGTTTTTGTTTGTTAATATATGTCTCTAGATTTTATAAATTTTTAATGGTCTGTAAAGTGTAAAAAAAAACATGTTCTTAATTTTAATGGTAAAACACTAGAAATGTCACGGTAAAACCATGTTAATTGGTTAAAAGCAAGTTCCCTTCCTGTGAAACATAATAAATCTAACAGGACATTTCAAAATAAATACTGTTAGAAGTGAAAAAGAGCAAGTCATCCTGTTTAAATTTATTTTATTTTATTTTATTTATAATTCAGTCTTTTATGGTGGTTGTCAGTATATTATAAGAAAACAACAAAACATATTTTAGTATTTCAGTAAGTTGGTATATTAACATTATTTTATTCTGTAAATTTAAGTTCAGTTCACTGTAGATGAATACAAATGTGTTCATGACAAAAATAGAAGAAAAAAACATAACCTAGAGCTAATAGTTTCCTAAAGTAGAAAAGAGGAACAAACCACAATTATTAAGTTAGGGTTAGTTCCGTCTACAAAGCGCCACACTGGTGAAAATGCCATTATTGTGCTGAAGAACTCATTTTACTCTTCTGACTACAGTAGTACTCAGTTATAAAAAGTCTTCACCCAAAAATGAACATTCTGTCATTTACTCACCAAACCTGTATGACTTTATTTCAAAAAGATATTTTGAAGAATGTTGGGAACAACATTGGACCCCATTGACTTCCATTGTATGAATGAAAAGATACTGAGACATTTCTCAAAATACCTTTCTCAGAAAAGTAAGGAAGTCATGCAGGTTTGGAATGAGGGCGATAAACGTTGACAATTTTAATTTTTATGTGCAAACATTATTTTGATTATTTTGAGCTCTGTTAACATAATAATGTTGATTTGTTTATGCTACAAATTATTAACTCGGTGTAGTTTGTTGGTTGAACATAATTTCATTAGAAGTTGTCATGATTCAAATTATTGATGCAAATTTTTGCATAACCTTTTTTGCCAAAACATTGTTTAATGTGCGCAGCATCTAATGTTGTCGGTTGCCACAGAAAATCATTTAGACTCGTGCCCCAGTGTTTGATCACTGCAATGGCTTTATTTTAAATTTAAGTATTTGGAATATTTGTATGAGTAGAGACTCGTAATACTCACACTGGACGTCCAGCAGCACTGATGAGTTCTGTGTGCCGTGTTTGTTCTCAGCTGTACAGTAGTATCGTCCGCTGTGTGTCGGGTCGGTGTTGTTGATGGTCAGGTTTGGTCCGGTCTGAACTGGATTCAGAGGTCTTTCAGTGTCTCTGTACCAGGTGTAGTTCAAGATTTTTACATGAGAATACAGAACAATACAAAAGATTTTAAAAAACAGGACATGCTTATCTTGAACATGTTTCAAACCTTAACGTTTCAGACTCTCAAAACTACAGGAGTAAGTGTAAGCTTGACTGTGTTGTGTGTAAATGACTTACCAGAGAATAGAGTTGAAGACGACAGAAATCCTCTCAGAGCTCTAGCTAATGCTTCTACACTGAACGGAGGGAGAACTGTGTGTGAAAACGGCACAATTTAGCTCATATTAGAGATTCACCACTTCCTCTTTAGTCAGAACTCAGTAACAGTAGCCAGGCTGAGAAATCTATGCTAATCAGTATGAAGCTTATTCAATGTTCAACACATTTCTTTATATCTGCTTGAAACAAATCTTGTGAGATCCAGTGTTCAATGTTCATGTTGATAATAATTCTCCATATTCAGGAATACATGTTGAATCACAATAAAAACGCAATCCAAGAACACTATTTGCAGGAAACATATGAATTTTCTTTTCGACTTTTGGATTTCTTATTTGAGATATTATACTGTATATCAACATTGTGTTACGGTAATATTTCTCATGTTCTGAATTGAGTTTAACAGTTTACTTCAAAAAAGGAACATTTTCTTGCCCAAGACACTGACAGAAGCTGAAAGCAGAAGAGATTTCAGCAAAACACTGCTGTCTGTATGTAAGGTGTCTGTGTCTGTAAAGTCAGCAATACGAGCTGCTCACTTCTACAGCCATATACTTAGGCCTGTATAGTAAGTGATGCTGTAAACATTTTCAATTCAATTCAAGTTTATTTGTATAGCGCCTTCACGATGCAAATCATTGCAAAGCAGCTTTTCAGAAAATTAAAGTTTCTACATTATATTTAGTAATATAACATAGTGGTGATAGTCAGATAGTGGTGACTATCTCAAGTTGATGTCCATATGGCAGAAATGTACGGTAAAAATCAAGCGGTTATTTAATGTCATGAAATCAAACAGACAGTGACCCACTATTAACAGCAATGATTATATTTTGCGATCAAACTTGTAGCAAAATTTGGTTGTTTTGTATGTTGTCTGAGGGGTTGGCATCATCTGAGGTCTTCTGAGGGGTTGGCATCATCTCTTCTCAGGTGTTCGGTCATCTCAGGTCTTTGTAAGGGTTGGATCCAGACTGAAGCTTGTGTAATTCCTAGTTGGCATCCCGTGGCAGAAACAGAGAAGGAAATAGAGAAAAATGAGCATAGCTGCTGTTCCAACTAAGCAAAAAATGATGTGTTTAACCCAAGCAAAAGAGTGTTAATGTGCATTTGATCAGATATAACTGCAGTCCAAGGTTATGAGATACATTATGTGAATGCTTGGCCAAAGAGATGTGTCTTTAATCTAGATTTAAACAGAGAGAGTGTGTCTGAACCCCGAACGTTATCAGGAAGGCTATTCCAGAGTTTGGGAGCCAAATGTGAAAAAGCTCTACCTCCTTTACTGGACTTTGCTATCCTAGGTACTACCAAGAGTCCAGATTTTTGCGACCTTAGGGAGCGTGATGGATTGAAGCGAGATAGAAGACTAGTTAGGTACGCAGGAACTAAACTATTTAGGGCCTTAAAAGTAAGTAGTAATATTTTGTAACTGATACGGAACTTAATAGGTAGCCAGTGCAGAGACTGTAAAATTGGGGTAATATCATATTTTTTTGACCTGGTAAGGACTCTAGCCTCTGCATTTTGGACTACCTGTAGCTTGTTTATTGAAGATGCAGGACAACCACCTAGCAGCGCATTACAATAGTCCAGTCTAGAGGTCATGAACGCATGAACTAGCTTTTCTGCATCAGAAACAGGTAACATATTTCGTAACTTGGCAATGTTTCTAAGATGGAAGAATGCTGTTTTGTAACATGGGAAATATGATTTATTGAAGTTGATGTCTAATATAACACCCAAATTTTTGACTGCAGAAGGTATTTTGTTACACAATTTGTTGCACAAATACATTGTACAGCTTTAGAGGACTTGGAATATAGCACAGAATTCATATGGACTACTTTTATGGTGTTTCTTTGTGGAGATGTGGCCACAATGATCATTGCATAAATATTCTTCAGAAAATCTCCTTTTACATTTCGCATAAAAACAAACTAACAAAACGTACGTTTGGCACAGCATGAGGCTGAATAAATAATGACCAAATTTTCATTTTCTGGATGAACTATTTTTTGTATTTATTAGTTTCTTTAACAGGGACAATGCAGTATAACATTGCTACAATTGCAAGCAGCCGATGCTCCACATATAGGCTTCTAGCCAAAGGCTAATTTGCCCAAACTATGCTTTAGAAATGGCATGAGACTAAGGTTCTACCTGTTTTTTTTAAAAAAACAAAAGCCTTAACAATCTGTCTGATTAGAACTCGTACCTTGGACAATCTGAAGAGATGAATAAATGTAGTTTCTTCAATCATGTTTTTCATTTATTACAGACAGTTCCTGGGCCAGATTTGGTTTATTTAAACCTCACGTGAATAGCACTGATTCCTCAATCAGAACCCCTGCTCTCGACGACTTTCTCAATGCTGAACTAAAAAAAAAAA